TTTTCCAGCAGTACCTCGACGTCAAATATCATTACAGAACAAGTGACGTTGGAGAATAGATCACAGAAGATTGATTATCGATCATAGGACGGAATGAATATAAATTTTGACACCTCTGAGTTGCCATATTTCGCCACCTGAGCCTGACAGGTGTATGGTCACATAGTGGTTGACTGTGATTTGAAACACATTAGCATGTGTATACACATTGGGGCTAAAAATTTTGACAATGAAAATTAAAAAAAAACTAAAAGGTATATTTGCTTAAAATGAGTGAATAAATAATAACAAAAACAATATATAATCAAAAACAACAAACGAACAAAATCAGTAACTGAAATAGTATTTAACAAAACAACATAATAAGTGAAATGTGTGTATATATAAAACAGAATTTTTATACCTTCTTAATTTTTTTTCATTTTGATAAAATTTTTGAGCTCTAACGTGTGATTCACATGTTAATATACTTCAAAATCAGTCAACCACGATGTGACTATACTATACACCTCTCAGGTGCCGAAATATAACAACGCAGCGCATCCATTTCATCCTGTGATCGATGATCGATCTTCACTTTTCTATTTTCCTTCGCCAACGTCACTGTAGTCTATGTTTTGTGGTCACTTGTTGTGTCATTTGACGTCGAGGTACCTATTTGTAGAAAATGGAATTTTGGAATAACAAATTTCCGTATAAAAAGTGCTCCGTCCAAGATTTTTCTGGGCAGAATTGTATATTACACTGTCATGTACACGTTAAATCTGCAATAACCACCAAATACGTATTTATGTTGAGTGTACCATGTACCATCACCGATAGTGCGACTGATTATACACTGAAATCAAAACAAAAAACTGCAACTGCAATTATTTGTATGAATGTTGGAAATCTCGAACAGTTTCGGACCAGTGGTGTCAAAATGTCGTTGAGGAACTGGAAAGAAGTGTATGAATGTGTTGAAACGCAACACCTAACAGAAATTTGAGTGAGAAGGCTTTTTCATGTAGAGGTTTGAAAGTGCAGGTTTGCAAATGTAGCATGGATTAGAAAAATTGCAATAAACATGGAGAAACTTTCAGCTAAACCGAAAAAAATTGATGTTGATATTGGCAGATTTTATATAATATTATAATATTTAGTAAACTGATAACATTTCAATTACAAGCTATTACTTCATATTTTACAGTGTTTTGTTTTGAATACTTTGATGTTATTTGCTGCCAGAAATATGTCGGAGAGATCTTGAGGCTGATTGGGTATATTTGACGGTCTGTTTGGTACTCGTACCCTATTGGTGGAAAATAATGGTTTGTTAGATTGCGAAATCGGCCCTAAATCTGTTTAACCAGCTTTGCTATAGACGATCGTAGTTACCTTTTTTTCTGAGAAAGGACTGACTGATGACGGCATTGCATGTAAAGTGCAGAGCCAACTTACCTGACGCTATTTTTTATCCTACCTCTATATAGTCTCACGTCTTTCAATTTTAGCACATAAAAACTTGGATTGCACTCAAAACCTAAGCAAATCTAAAAATTTAGAAAGCCGCGTCGAAGAAGTGTCTTCTGCAACATTTGTAACACAATTTCACAATTTTCTTAATGGTTCAATCTGCGGCCAAAATTCTAAGTGTGTACCCACACAGTCCCTAATAGCGATGAAGGTAAATGAACGTTTTACGTTATCTTACTACTATCGCCCCTTTCGCAGGCCTACATTAACCTCAAAAGCCACCCCCGTCGCTTCCCAAGGCCAAAAATTCCAGGAATAACGGGTCGCTATTTCTCCCGTGCGGTGTTGATTCCATTAAGCATCTCCCGGAGTCCCGGGCTCCGTTAATGGCTGTCTGGCACAGCTATAACGCCGCTAGGGTTAATGTTAAATTCATTTTCGGCTCACTACTCGCTGTATATCGTATACATATAAATAAATGTGACTTTAGCAGAGGCGTCGCGTCGTTGAATTATCTAAAACGAGAGGGTGGATGAATGAACAGAAAAGAAACAGAAATAGTCCTTCGGCAAGAAGGTTTTTAAAAGTGGTGCTTCAAGCTAGACTTGTAACCCAAATAGAATGTTTGCTTTCCGTCTCTGCGACCGTAATCAACCGTATACACTGTTGTTCCATACTTTTTAGCAATCGTCAGTATCGTATAGATCTAGTCATTTAGAAACAGTCTCATAACCAAATGTTTAATATGTTTGAATTACTGTTGACTGACACAAAGTTTCAGCCACCACGGTCGCAGAATTGTCATTTGAATGTGAAAGAGGCCACACCTTGGTGTCACTAAATGGTAATTCAAGCGTGTCTGATTTCAGTGGAATCCCCAGGATGTTTTACATTGAAAAATACCTTGTGTGTATTGTTTTATCTATTATAATATAAATTCCGATATACTGGTGCCAACAACAGATTCAAATCAGTGACCCAAAATATACCTGGAACTACTATCCAGATAAGCCCTAGAGACTTCGATCGGGAACTTTGGCCGGTTGACTCCCGGAAAGGATAGACAAAATATCCACATAAGTAAATTTAAGAAAATTTTGTTTTTTTTTTGTCAACTTATTAGGGAGTAGCTGCAGTGTGACAGGAGCAGCAGTAAAACAAGGCTGTCCTTTTTTTCAAATACGACCGATTTTAGTAATATCATATAAGAGTAGTTTTTTCCAGCAGAATGGTTAGACCAAAGGTCCTTAAACTTATTTTATCTGCTGTCGACTCTCAGAATCTGTTATTGTAGCGCCGTAAGTGCCGTAGCATCAGTCGTTCCTACAATAAATTGTAGGAGACGCCCTAATGGCGTCCTTGATTTTCATAGTATGTTCTGTCCTTCAGAAGGGCTGGGGTATTTCTAGATTTCTACTGGTCCGCGTCATCGGCAGCGCTCTCTGATTGTGAGGCTATGTTTCTTTTCGAATTGCAGGAACTTTCAGGCTATATAAAAGGCAATGTGAATCAAAAACATGAGGAATTTGATAAAAATAGATATTTGTAACATAACCTCAAAATAGAGCGCTGACACGGAACAGTAGAAAACTATGAACATCAAGGAGGCCATAAAGGCGTCCTACAGTTGTAGAAACGAGTGACGATACGACCCTTAATTTCGATTTATTTATCATCATTACGAGAATGTAAAAAATGCAGGGATTCATTGTCTTCTGTGAACAGCACGGTTTCTCAAGGCCGTATGCTCCGCTGTTCGATTTTACGTGCATATTTTCACCTACAGGCCAAACGGCTGGACGGATTTTCACATATGAGGTGTCGTTGGATTCGTCTTCGCGGTAGTGAATACCTTTTTCAGCTTCTCAATTTAATTCATGAAAGTTGCGAAAGGTTTTGATGATCCACCCTCACTAAGATGGTCTATCCATGAATAAGTTTCAATTGAGGAACATCCTGCAATTTATTGCAAACAAAGGCTGCCAAATTTTCCAGCCCGTCATACTCGAGCCCATCTCGTATTTCTTCCACTAAAACTTGCTCGGTATAATCAGCTGATACTTCAGGGGCATTCGGCTTATTCTCGTTAATGATGCGGTTAGTGGTTAGTGGAATATCTGGAGTATCCTCTGACTCTACGCTGCAACAGGTACTCTGAGTATGCGCCTTCGTTTCGCCCCAACATATATGACCTTATTCTATACTTAAACTCTAGAGGACTTGTATGGTCATAAAGACCATCTTTTGCCCTAATTACTCCGAAAAAAATTTCTATCACATCTTGATTAAGACGTCTTGTTAACAAGTATTGGACGCTGAAGCGTCGTTTCAGATCCTCTAGAGCATTTTCTAGCAAACCCTAGCGCTTTTTACATTGATTTTGTCTTATCTTTTTGTGAGATGTATCCATTTTTTTTGCTAAAGTTTGGGTCTTGTGGATAACTGTGGAACTTCATGTCTTTGCAAAGATTCCGTTTAGATTGATTGTCGAAAAACACACAAACCACGAAAAAACACCAACTAATCGCACTATATAGTATTAACCACGATACACGTGAACTGCAGTAACGTTACGACAATCTTGCCGCTGATAACCATGAGCCAATAACTCTCCGGGTGACGTCACGAATCTGCGCCCACATGAGGAATATCTTATCTTCAGTGTATGTGTGTCGTTATGGTTTCTAGTACTATCTTATATTTATGCTGTCCAGATTTAGTTGAACTAAGCACTGCGGTTCGAGGAGATTTAGGAAAGATTAATTCTCAGTGGCGTCCTATATCGCAGGGGTGCGAAGAAATTACATAAATGGTCAAAGAACCCAGTAGTCTTAGAATAAGCGTGAGAATCACCCCTTGCACATGCGATTCAGGTGGTAACTAGAGAGGCGCTATTTGTCTGTACAAAACTGCCTCAGGTGACGGAACCAGGCATGATAGATTTGTGTCATAGTGACACAGCTCTGCTTTAAATAAGCAGTCGCAATTTAACGATAGAAGGTCTTCGTTTGACCAACATCTTGTATTTACAATATACTAACCTGTGCGGCGTTTTGCCTGACGATTTTATGGAGTCCACATAATATATGGGGCATCGTCAGGACAATTGGCAACAGTGCTCACAAAATAACGATAAAAATAGCGTAGGAAGAAGAAGTAGTTCCGAAAAACGGCTCAATTAGATTGGTGGAAATTTTGTACGGTAAACACGGAGCTTTGATAGCTTGTAAGTCAGTAACGTCTGCAAATAAAGTCACAAACTTTTTGGCAAAATAAGCTTCATATCTCATAGTTTCCAATAGGGACAGACCCGTAATATAAGTCTCGTAAATTCCGGAATATTATTACTTTTCAATTGCAAAGAATATCTACGTGCACTGGAAGGGTACGTGGCAGTGCCGGCTGCAGCTGAGCACCAAAATCCCTTTTATTGTCGTACTAGTGAAATTTACATGCTATTTTCTCCGCCGAAATGGCGGCCGTTTTTGACACTGACGGGATAGTTTTATAGCTGGTTGTTATCTATGCTGGGCTACTACTACTACCACCACTAGATTGGTGATCATCTTTGATGTTATAGTCTTTCTTTTCCCATCTACTTTTGACAGTTTGATCTTTATCCGCTCTATAGCCACCTAACGGGTTCGGAATAGAACATAGCTGCCATTTGTGCGAGACATTGAGGGATGTCATCCTGACAGATCCGTTTTTGACATGAAGGCTGATACGTCACAATTTCCTAATCCCCAGAAATTCTGTAATAGTGACCTGTAAAAATTAGATAGGTTATTACTTACTATGGTAATTGTATACAGTTTACCAGCATGCACCATATTCTCTTTTCAAAAAACAATAAAAACTACATTGTCCCTTTCTCATCACTTAAAGAATTGATGCAGCCGCTTTTTTGCCAATGCCCCCTTAAGCCCCAAATGCCCTCAGCGATCCCGCATTTAATATGATGCCATTCGGAGGTCTGTATTGGAAAACTATTAAGTTGATCCGCATTTTCTAGAATAGCGGGCATTTGATTCCTCTCTGGAACGCTGGGGTTAAAGACATAAAGAATCCTATAAAATTTGGCCACGTTTGAAGCAGTGGCTGTGGTTGTTGGTACAAAAACAGACGGTGGATTTTAACAAACACTGGCTATGAGTAGAGGTAAACCTTAAATATGCCGATACGAGTTTTGAGCTATCAACTGACCTGACAAGTTTATGGATGATCAGATGATATTGAAGATACTGAGGTACCGGTATGCACCGCTCTCAGCTCAGGCTTAAGCTTGCAAAGCTTGACCTCAAGTTAAGATAGGCCATCTTTACACCGTAGGTAGGCAAGCGCTGAAATAGCCACAGAGCACCGTAGTTCTGAGCATAAGTGCGGTTCTGTGCCCTTTTCTATAATAGCTGTGGGCTATATAAGCGCTTGGTGTAAACATGACGATGTGGAAATAAAGGAATGCACTAGTCTGACAACGTTGCATTGATCACAAGAAATTCGAGTTTTTGGTTATGTATTTTAACATATTTGTTAAACCAGCCAAGATAAATTAAGCTAGCTAACTTGGCGCAAGCTTTCCTAGACGATCGTGGTATAAAGCAGACTGCACTCAAGTGTTACATATTAAAAAAGGAAAATGACATTAATCATTTACAAAGTTTAATAATGGAACAAGTTTCGGGGACTCCGACCAAATAGAAGATCAATGCATTTTCTACTACCTTATGAATTAGTGTGAACATTTCGCGTGTTGTATGAAGTGAGTGAAATAGGTTTGATATTACTCTTTTGCAAGCACTGCAGGCTACTTTATATATTTTTTTTGTGGCGGGAAGAAAGTTTGACATTTGTTCTCTGTTAACAGATACTTTTTTCCCGGATATTGTATAAACACATATTTAGCTAACAATAATTTTTGTGACGCTACTTTGGCTACTTCTACTAATTCCGGTGGAGCCAAAGAAAACTCGGAATCAGAAATTTTCACTTTATAGTATTAAAAATTACTTGTAAGCAACCACTAAGTTCACAATTTTTAAATCAAATCACAAAATTAAAATGGTCAGCTACTTGATTACCTTAGAAGTTTACTTACCAACGCAGGTCTAATTGTCGCTATAAGTACAACATGGCCTACTAATTTTAAAATTCAAATTCCACATCGATCATTTTCTGACTTAAAGATTGTAGTAATATAATTTTTCAATACCAAGTCGTCGTTTTTTCCGTCAAAATTGTGTGTTATACACAGGAAAAACACTAGATTTTAAAGTCTAGTACTTTTTTCTCTTGTTTAATAAATAACTATTAATGAATCCCATAAAACAGAACAAACATACTGTTTCTTTTAAAATCCTTCACGGTAAAAACTTACAGATCTCACAACTAGTTGATCACCTAGCGTCCCAGTGCTCATCCGGTTTCGATGTATCGCCGAGCTTTACCAAAGAGCCGTTCATTGCGGCTGGTCGGAGTCCAGATCACCGAGGGCTTGAACACATCTCGTCAATACCAGTAGCTGCTAGGCTATTTGTACAGAGCTAAGAAGTAGAGGAACTGCAGCATATTTGGAATACTGGTTTGTTTTTTGGAAATAAATTGCATGATAAACGGGATAGCAAAGTAAAAAATGCGTTAAATTATTAGGAAATCATTAAACTTTAATGATATAAACAATCAAATAAAACAAAAATCAGGAGCCTCATTAAAATATTTATCATAGTAAAAACTCCAAAACCGTAAATTTACTTAGGGGGCAGGTAATTTGGAATATAGTATTCCAAATTATGATCACCTTTCTTAACAATTGTTTACAATTTTTCTAAGAAACTAATAAGTATCTCATCTTTGTAACCGTTTTGCACTCTTTGCTAATTAATCTGTTTAACAAAACAGCTTGTAATTATTAATTATTAAGTTAATTATTAAGTAATTAGTCACAATAATCGCAAATCAGTATTTAGCCAGAACTTATAGTATAGTTTTCTCAGTTACTGTTCTTAAAATAATCGCAGGTATACACACCAGATTCATGAGCACTACAATTCCCACATTAAGCACTGTGCCTATTCCGAATTAACAACATGACATCCTAACTTGAAATTCCATGTCACATTTTTTATTCTAAATATATTCACAAAATCAAAATAAAATTGTGAACCAACAAGGACACATAACATTTCAAATAATTGCAATGAAGATTTTACCTATCTTAGTGAATGATTATCAATGATTGCATTGCACAAAAAGTTTTCAAAGTAAATGTTTCGTTCCCATGTGGCTGGGAGCAGGAAATGTCAAGATGGCATGCTGCTTTTAGTACTCGTGGTTTCGTGTAAATTACAACAGTATATTCACGGCAGAAAAATAAAGATAGAGTTTGCATTTAATTAGATAACTAATGGCCGATTTCACCAACGTGTCTTAAAATTTAGGAGTTTCTTAATTCAAGTTAAGAACTGCCCAAATCCATTTTCGGTTTCACCAGTTGCTAAGTATTTCCTAAAGTGAGATAAGTATTACCTAAGATAGAAATTGGTTAAACAGCGTTCTAAGCCGGTTAGGAAGTTCTTAGCCCGTTTGACATTTGTCATAAGTGACGTTATATTCCTAGCGAATATAGCAGCTATATGGAAGTGATTGAATTTATCGAAGATTTGGACCATTATGACGATGATGATGAACATATACGACGTCCTCGTGTTCTGAGAGATCGTACCGATTATTTCGAGCAGTACGACGAAATGGATTTTTTCCGTAGATTTCGCATGAATAAAAACACTGCACTGTTCGTCTTAGATCAAATTGAACATCAGCTGGCATATGCAGATTACAGGTATGTATACGTAGTCATGCCATAAGTTCTGTCCCTCGTTTTCAAACAAGTGTAGACCTGTTAATACTTGTCCGATTGTTTACATTGTGGTGTCAGTTGATTAAGCGCTTTTCGGGTAATTACATATACCTCAGTTTGTATTGATCTCTCGAAGCATAACGATGGAGTGGGGCAAGGCAGAGAACCGTATTGCAGTGATAGCTTTACATAAGTGTAATCACAGTGCTAGTCAGATTTTTGAACTCTTACGCGGCCTTCAAATATCGCGTAAATTTGTGTCTAGGACCATTCAGCGGTACAATGAGACGTCCTCTGTTGATGACAGGCCAAGAAGCGGAAGACCTCGTCAAGTAAGGACTCCAGCAGCCATCAAAGCCGTAAAAGCCAGGATTCAAAGGAATCCACTCCGGAAGCAGAAGATCCTATCCAGGGAAATGAAGATTCCTGTCCGGATGATGTCGCGCATCATTAAACAAGACCTAGGGCTAGGGGCTTACCGGAGACGTACGGGCCAGCGACTTACGGCCACCTTGCGACACATCAGGGCGACAAGATCCAAGAAGCTCTTGGAGAGGTACGCAGCTGGGGGATTCCGAAAGATTTTGTTCACGGATGAGAAAATCTTCACCATAGAAGAAAAATTCAACCGACAAAATGACAAAGTGTATGCAAGGAGTTCACAGGAAGCTTCGGAGATCATTCCGAGAGTTGAGAGAGGCCACCACCCTGCGTCAGTCATGGTTTGGTGGGGGGTGTCCTACGAAGGGGTCACTCAGCTCCATTTCTGTAAACAGGGCGTGAAAACAAAAGCGGCAAACTATCAGAGCGACATACTGGATCCTATCGTCAAGCCTTTAAGTGGTACATTGTTTGCCAACCAACACTGGGTCTACCAGCAGGATTCCGCCCCCGCTCACAAGGCTAAGAGTACGCAGCGCTGGCTGGAAAGCAATGTGCCAGAGTTCATTGCTGCGGAAGATTGGCCCTCAGGGAGTCCGGACCTCAATCCTTTAGACTACAAGTTGTGGGACCTGCTAGAGCAGTTGGCCTGCTCCAAAGCCCACCGTAATATCGAGTCCCTGAAAGCGGATTTGATCCGATCAGCGGCAGCTATTCCTTTGGAAGCTGTGCGTGCAGTGATAGATGAGTGGCCCGCGAGATTGAAGCAGTGTGTGAAGGCCAAGGGGGGACATTTTGAATAAAACTGTTTGATTATGAATTCTAAAAATGTTGTCGAATAAATAATATCTTTCATATAAATATATCTTATCTTGTTTCATTTTTATCATGAGATTATCATGGGACAGAACTTATGGCACGACTATGTAACAGTGTAAAGGTACCTAATATTTGAAATTAAATTAATAATATTTCGTTTTTACAGAAATGCTGCAATTGCACCCATAAACCAACTTTTAATTGCGTTGCGATTCTATGCAACAGGATGCCACTTAACATCTGTTGCCGATTATGGTGGTGTTAGTAGTAGCAGTAGTTGCAGGATTGTAAAGAAAGTTTCTCATGCTTTGGCATCATTGCTGCAAAGATTTGTAAAATTTCCCACCACAAATGAAGAGAGAAATAAAGTAAAACATGACTTTTTTTTAATTGCCGGATTTCCAAATGTTCTAGGATCAATTGATTGTACACACATAAAGATACAGTCACCAGATAAATTAATGACCTAATACCAACACAATAATATTTATGAACATTTACATTCAGGTGGAGATGATGCAGAAGTGTTCAGAAATAGAAAAGGTTATTTTTCATTGAATGTACAAACTGTCTCTGATGCAAAATTAAAGATATTAAACATTGTGTGTCGTTATCCAGGATCTACACATGATTCTGCTATTTTTCAAAATAGCAGACTATGCTATCAATTTGAGACAGGAGTGCATGCTGCAGGATTACTTTTGGGAGATAATGGATATCCTTTAAAAGTAAGATATATGATATACATAATAAACAATATCTTAGTCACACAATCTTTAGTAAGTTAAAAAATAATAAAAGAAACAACTATTAATTTATTTGGAAATTTATTGCAAAACAATTCCATTTTATATCTATTCATTTTACTTCAATTTCCCATTTGCATAAGTGTGATCAAATCGTTTAGAGGTTCTCCATCTGAAACAAGAATAACATATATATTTCATGCTTTGTATACATTTGCTTTGGATAACCTTATTTATACATATTTAAATATTTTTAGAATTATCTGATGACACCCTTTTTAAGCCCACAAACTATCGGCCAGCAAAATTATAATAGGGCACATATTGCAACAAGAAATACAGTGGAACGACAATATGGAGTGCTAAAACGAAGATTTCCTGTATTGGCTACCGGATTAAGATTAAAATTAGAAAATTCTATAAATGTAATATTGGCATGCTCTGTATTACACAACATTTGCATAGATAAAAATGAAGATGTCCCACCAGTAGAAGTAGAGAATATTGAAAATGATATACAAAATGGCCAAATGGAAAGAAATATTCAAAATGGACAAAATAATTTAAGTCGAGATATACTTGTAGCTAGACATTTTCAATAAAAAATTAAGAACTTCCTCACCTTTAATTTTTTTAATTATAAGATCCCTTATTTCAATATCTTTTTCTAGTTTTCTTTTTTTGAGCTCGTGAAGTTCCATTTCCCTTCTCATTTCTGTATCTATTAGTTCTTGTTTTTTCCTTTCTGTTAAGCACCGTGCTTCATTCAAGGAGCTCCCTCTTTCAATTGAAATTAATGGTCGTCTTCTTTGGTGAACAGGCGTCTTATCCTTGAAAAAAATCTATTAAAAATCATCCAAAGCAACATGATGATTATGCATACTATTATTTGAGGCTGAATCTGATGCTCCTGTTCCTCTTCTTCCTCAACAACAATATTATCTTGTAAATCTGAAATATATCATTTTCTATTAGCACTGAATTTCATTACATATATATATTATAACATACCCAATGAAGCATTTTCTGGTACCATATTTTCTTTGCCTTCTTCAATATCGCAATCATTGATATTTTCCAAACCCCTACCAGCACGACCCAAAATATCTAATACTTTTTCCAGTATGGGGTCTGCTTTTACTTCAGAAGGCCCACCTCTAGTTTGCGAAACGCTAATGCGTTCTTTGGCCCGGTAAGTTTTCGCATCGCTCTTCAGTTTTGCCCATATTTTCTTCAAGCTTTCTACCTCCCTGCAAAAACCAATTTAACGTGGTAATGAATACTAATAAATATATAATAGACAAATATCTACCTTCTCTCCCCTGCACGTGAATTAAATTGTTGCCCAATTTTCAGCCAGGCCTCCTCCTTCATCTGGTTTGTAGAACCATCGGTTTTTTTGTTTAAAATAATGCTATTGTTTCCAATTAAAGACAATAGCATTATTTTATCATCGCTATTGAAATTAGCTGAGCGCTTTCTTTTTTGCACAATTATATCCATTTTAACCAAACCACCTAATAGCATTCAAGCATCCAAGCAGACAGCTGTCATGAATGACAATAATTGTCACTTGTCACTTATGAAATATCGAATCGATTTTTATGAAGTATTGCAACCTGACAACAAAAACTTTCTAAACACTGTGTCTTAACTAGGAACTTCATAACTAAGAATTACCTAGCCTGGTGAAACCAAAGATTGTATTTAGGAAATTCCTACCGCTAAGTAATTCTTAGTTAGGTTTTAATTTAGGAAATGTTGGTGAAATCGGCCATAAGTATTCCAAGTTACCTGCAGTATTCCAAATATGCTGCACTTCCTCTACTTTTCTCCATACGACCTCCTCACTCTGTACAAGGCACAGATAAGCCCTAGCTCCAAGAATTGCTTACATGTTTGGGGTGCTGCCGCCTCAACTACATTATCCATGCTCGATATGTTCAGAGCAGAGCTGTCCGACTGATAGATGACTCTTCTCTAACGGACCATCTCGGAACCATTTGGCACCGGTTGGCCGTGTGCGATCTAGCTCTCTTCTACCGATACGCCAATGGGTTTTGCTCCTCAGAGCACAACTCCATGATGCCGCCTCGAGATCTGCCTGCCAGACAGACTTCGGCCTCCTATCTTAACCGTGTTGAACTTCATACATCCAGAATTGGCCCATACGACCGCTCCCTTGATCCTGTGGTATCGAGATTGTGGAACAATCTACATCAGGAGGCTTCTCCCAGTTCTACTAAACTTAGGCAGTTTAGAAATCGGATTATGAATGTTTCTTTAAGCTCGTCATAGCAGCCTTGGTGCCCTGGCATTTAGGCTCCTGCCTGCGCGACTGCTTCTTTGTAAAAAAACCTTCTACATTTTTTACGGCTATATTTGTATAGTATGAATAAGATGAAAACCTTTTACGAACATGCTTACACTAATATCTGCAAAGTGGTCCAACATTATTGAGAAAGAAGTGCTTCAATGAGCTTGGAATTCCTTGTACCTAAGACAGCCAGGGTAGTTGTCTCGAGTTGGAATCTCAACTAAGCCACCATAAGCGATAATTTTTTACAGGAATTATCACTATCCAATATACGATATAGTTTATAGGGATCTCTACCTTTCCATATTGTTGCACCCAATTAGTTCTCAATTTTGATCAGACGTTTTCTGATGTTATTCTGAAATCTCTGATACAGGGTAAATTATTAGTACTTGCTTCTGAAAATCTGGAAACCAACATTAAAGCTTCTGCAAAGAGTTCAAGAAGATATTGCTATCGGTATAACACGTAAAAAGTTATACTTTTCTATTAAAATTGTAATCATCGCTATTTAACTGTCGATTCCATGTAAATGCCCTTACAATTTTAATTCTCCAATAATAACATTGCTACTTGAAGTATTTTTTTGTCTTTGGTGTGGCTATGATGCCCGAACATTAAAACTGAATTTGTTCAACAACTAATTTTCCAGTGTCCTCTTACAACTATTTGAAGGGTGGATATATAAGAGTCTCTTCCAGTATCAGATGCTATCACTGTCCCTTGAGACGACAAATTGTCATGTCGGATCGATCTCTTATGCTGTTGGATTAGCTACTGACCACCCGCATAGCAAATTTTTTCTAGCCCATAGATACACAGCAATTTCATAACACTATATACCCCCTTAAATTTCATACAAAATCCTTGCCTGGTACTTTTTAACCAGTTATATACCTAGAGTCTGTCACTAGACCATTACTAGATAGCTACAAAGCCGTTACAATTCTGTTTTTGTTGCTCTGATATTTTTTTACTCTCTTACTATTTACAATTTACAATAATGTCCCTGATATTTCAAACAGTGATACAACTATGCATTTTTAGTAGGGTTAATGGGGATCACTTCCTGCAGACGTCGCTCAAAACAAGTTGCATACCCGGTGCTTATGAAATGATCGACATAAGTCAGAACCTATGCTTGCAACTGTGACGACGGTGCATACGGACATTAATCTGCATAGCTCTACTACATTCATCTACCGAACTGTTGAAAACGTCAAAATCATATATTTTCTGCAACATACTGGTGTAGAATTATCTTGGTTGGTGCTGCCACCCTAAGTCCTTGGAGCGTTAAACTTGACCTCAGACCTCTAGATCTTCCGTGAGAGAATGCCGCTGTCCATCTTCTTCTCTTCTGTTAACGTTGTGATGTCATTCACGACGCTAGCGCTTTAGTTTTCTACGAAGAGTGGCACTATGTATCAACAGAAACAATACTGAAATTAAAACAAATCACTGCGTTGATATCGTTAGAGCCAAAATGATAACTATCGTCTGTAGGTAGCAGCTCACCAGAGATTTGAGAAAAATATTCGGGAGCTTTACAATCAGCGTTTCTGTAATTTAAAGAACTGTGACGAAATTTTTTCTATCTCCATTTTGTAGATAATAATAATAGGGGCATCCTATGTGGATTTACGAGTATAATTAATTTTAGGACTCAGAACTTTGAAAGTTCAAAGTTCCACAACCTAATCCTGCAAGATTGGTGGCGGTTAAAGTGGAAATCTGTTGCCTGGCTCTTTGATAGCGAACAAAGTAACAACGGAAAAGTTTTTGCTACTTTTTCCACCACTTACTGAAACAAACAACTTACAACGACCACAAAGGAACAAACGTAAATTGCGAGTTTTGTTTCTCACGCACGCCAGTAATGAGGCAGATACCCACTAAATACGAAAATGTTTGAGTTTTTGCACTTTTCACGTAGCTCCTCACATCAAGGAGCTTCTGCCTGAAGACAAAAGGTCAAATCCGAAATGATGATGGTCAGTGGACCTTAAATTAGAGACCAACTAATTTAATCTGGCTTTCAGAAGCCAGGTTCCGAAGTAGTCAAAACACAAGGAGGCGAATATTTTTAAGGTTGGTGTTGGTAATAAGATGACAATCAAAGCACTTTCCAATATCGTTAAACGTATGGTGTATAATTTGTAAATGCCCGACACCAGTGTCATGTAATGTCAAGCCAAGTCATCGTTGATTGTCAGACCGGTCCGTGGGACCTCAGATCTTGAGTCACAGTGTCAGTTTGTAAGTCTGTCAGGTCTGGTAACCCAGAAACTAGATAATTTTAAGGAAATAAGGGAAGGAAAGGAGAGAAGAAAGAACGAGAGCAAAGGGAAAGAAGAGAATCCTTAAGATATTCAGCGCTTAGGCATTGTTATGTAATGTCATTGCTATGATAGTTGTATGATTGCCATATTTACCAGCTGTGTACTAGCAAGACGCTGGTAGACGTCCCAAGTTTTATTTTTTCGTTTTTGGCTTTTTTCTCCGCAGCCTGTGGGCCACTTTCAAAAATGTATAAACGGTGAAAACACGAAAACTTTTTTGACGTTTTAGAGGCACCTGGTGTATAGACGAATTGTTTGGACTTGTTTGATTACAACGCAATTTCTGTGTTGTACATTCCACGTTGTTTCTTTTTCAGAAGGTTGAACCTGTGCTGGACTTAGGGCCGATTTCACCAACATTAATATTATGGACCAATGGGAAAATACCTTATCGAAATACAATTTGACAGAAGCTGTCAAAGGTCTCAGAATATCAGTGACTTCTACTAAAATATTTAATGAAATCGTGAAAATTCGACTGTATTATAAACAAGACCACCTCTTGATTCCAACATGATGCTTTTGTACAGAGAAAACAGGTCAACTTTCATGTATTTTAATTTGTGTTATAAATTTACATTTATCAATCAGTTATCCCCAAAAGCCAATGGGAATGCGGCAAATAGTAGGTCGATTTTCTAGCTGTTAAATTTGGCAGCAGATTTGGACGTTTGTTAATGCATGGCAATCTCGAATTTAAGTTCAGTATACTGTTATCATTACATGTTGAATAGTGTGGATTTGTCTGTATTTTGCAAGAAAATAGAATATACAATGCATTCCATCCAATTCCTCATCTTCCTTTACATCATAATAGTAATCATTTATTAATTTACGGGTTAATGAATTTCTTCAAAGCAATAAAAACATTGTCCTCTCCATCCTAAAACAAAGATAATATGTGTAAGACGTGTCAATCCCTACATCTGCCTGATGCATAATGCAATTACTATCGACATAGACAAAAAATTATGAAAAATGTTTCACAAATAATGTCTTTTAAGTCCAAAAATCATAAAAACTAGTAATGTTTATTGTTTGTCTTTTTGACCGGCGGGGATATCTATCTGTCACTCGCAGGGTTGCCAAGTATAACGACGATCACGTCCCGTGGTGGAGGGTTCGAAATGAATCTTTTACATTTGCTGGTTTTGAATTTTTTTCGTGAAAATTTACTAGATATCATGATTATAAGCATCTTTGTTAGATTGTTCGATCCGGAATGGGAAAATTCTCCTATTTTTGAAAATATTTTTGGTATCATCTAACCGTTGCAATCAGTGCACAAACACATATGATTTATAGCATAACCCGCTGCCCTATCAATACAAATTTAACATACAGGTCGCCTAGACGTGGGGATGCAGTAGTCAGGATGAAAAGCACGGCAGCAACGGATGATTTTGGGCTTGTCTGGTAACAACGTATGAAGTGAAACTCGCTAACTTCACAAATTTGAAGATTTTGTACAATTTGTTTGAAAATGATGAAAGATATGTCTGATTTGGCAGGGTAATGTCGCAGCCAAATGGCAGTAACTCTTTCTTACACAGTCCGGATCGAAAGATGACGATACTCGTGAAATGTATTCATACTTCCAAATATAGGATTATATCGAACATCCTTAATGTCAAGATGTATAACCCAAGGTACCGACGGAGCTATTTTGCGGCGTCATGGGAATAATTTTAAATTTTCATTTGCATTTCTTCAAGTGTTGTGCAACATTTTGGGAAAAATGCCACGAATAGTGTTATAAAGCATAGTAGAGTATATTTCAACAGTTGGCGGAACTTACTCCACTGGGACCAGGAGGGTGAAACGGGATATTAATGCACAATCTGGCAACCCTGTCGCACCCTCACAAAATGGCCGCTGACAACCACACAAGTCACCGTGTTGTCATTGAATAGCATGGAATTTAAACCTTCAGAGTATATGTTTTGTGACTGGTACCAAAAGTTGTCAGATCCCACACATGTGTCACTCGGGGAGTCTTGAAATGTAATAATCAGCTGTATTCAAATAATGTCTAATATAAATATAACCTAGAATGTGTACTCGTGTCAAAAGAAAAATATGGCAAATTTGTAGTTTTTTTGCAG